TACTGGGCCATTCCCTATCATTGCCGAAGCTGCCATGGCAACTGGTCATACTGTGCTAATAAAGATGCATCTAAATAGATTAAAGGGGCAATGTCAACGATTTTTGACCTAAAATGCCTTTTAATCAAAAACTGAACTACAAAGTTAAAAATAAACATTGTAAATGGATTAAGTTATGATATATGAGTCATATTAAACAACTTTGAACTTCCACGCAACATGTAACATGACATTTTCATAAAAAATGACTAAAACTTGAAAAAGTGTCTGCCAACAATTAATCAAGATGCCATTTACAATCCATCTCAATCCTGACGTAATCTTGCCCATCCAGACATCTGTACATGTTTTTTGTGTCTGTTATTGCTTTATTTTGTGCTTACACTCATTCTTTTTCAGTTTTGGGCAAAATTTGCGAGGGTTAGAATAGCTCACTCATCCTCAAGAATTTGCATGGCATGACCTGTTGCTATGACTACTAGCTTCGCCCCTGTGCCCTATCCGTGTGAAGACTTTTTTCAAACACAGTGTTCCTATCGCTCAGCTTTTTATAGTTTGATCGATTCCTTCTATTTTAAGGTCAGATGTTTTAGGACAGATTTTACCTGCTAGTTTTTGGGCTCAATCGGGAGTGGTATGTGTTTTCAAGTTCTTATAAACTTAACCCTTTAAGTGGCAATGCGCCCCCTATACTTTAATATTTTACTCTGTCTAACGCCAGAGTATCTTACTCTAACGCCAGACGATTTCACTTGTCAAGTTGAACGTGCTGGCACTCTTCCACACATTTGCTTCGGAAAAAAATAGGATAATGCAATTCCCATCATCCAACGCGGGATGAGCGATTCGGGACGAGTCAGCTTTCTGCCCATGCATCCTGTTAAGGTTACAGGACACCCATTTTGGCGTTTTGTGGAAAATCGCTACAGCGCGCTCAAAATCAGTCCGATTTTCATCAAATTTTCACCAAATGTTAGCCAGTGCATGCAAAATATGGTAAAGTTGTAAAATTGACAAACAATAAAATAATATAAGAATTATTCAGGAAAATATTAAATCGCGGTACCTTTACGTTTTTGAGTTATGTTCCTGCTGGTTTTAAGATATATTTATGAAAATATCATTTTTATACAGTAAAATAGTTGTTCTAAAAAGTTGTGTTCGGAAATTTTTGTTTATTTTGTCATTCCGCTGATATGGCGATTTCTTTGACGACTGCAACATATTTCTGAATCGTTTGTGTGAATTGCTCCTTATTATTAAAATATCCAAAATTAGAACAAAGCCGAACACTATTTTGAAACTGACGTCTTTAGCTATATGTCCTTTGAAAATTTGAGAACAATTCGTTAAAACCCGCAGGAGCACAACTCGTTTAAAAATCAGTAATTGCCGTAAAATTCTTCGCGAGAAAATTGAATTTGAATATTACATTTTCAATGTTTTTCTTATTGCAAGCGAAATGTATTTTATTAAATAACTCTGCGAGTTTTCAACATTTTTCGTCCAAACTTGGTCAGATAGTAGAACTAGTCTAATGCTTTCATGGAAACCAATAAAAAAATTTTAGGCAAAATTAACCAACTCAAAGGTGTTCTGTAACCTTAAGAAAAACAATTCAAATTTTGCGGTGCTATGTTGTGATAATTTGTATGTTTTCCTTCAGGCCAAATTATTTAGTTCAATACAAAAGAATGGTTACAAATTTATGTATTTATCAGCGCGACCTATTGGACAGGTTAGTTATTTCATGTTAGTCGTTCATTTCGAATCGTTCAGAATCATTCAGCATTTTTTTTCTCCACCTAGGCTGAATTAACAAGACAGCATTTACGAAATGTCGTGCAAGAGAATTTAGGATTGCCCGATGGTCCTTTGTTTTTATCTCCGAGTTCACTTATCAAGGCTTTTCACAGGTGTGTCAATATCGTTCTGAATATAAGAGGCGGGCAGGTTCATGTATGTGAATCACGAAGCTTTGAAAGAGCTAAGGGAATTTTTCTACGCACATAAAAACGCACAAGTTGTTACAGGTCTGCAAACAAGTTGTTACAAATCTGTTCACAAGTTGTCGACAAGTTGTGTTCGCACTGCTTGTTCCTAGTTGTTGTAACAAATTTGGAACAAGTTGTTAACAACTTGTAACAAGCTTGATGCCACTATCAGACTTGTTACAAGGTTGATCTAACAAGTCTGATACAGTCTTTGTAACAAGTTTGGAACAAGCTGTTAACAACTTGTAACAAGCTTGATGGCATCAGACTTGTTACAAGGTTGTTCTAACAAGTCTGATACAGTCCTTGTAACAAGCTTGATGGCATTATAAGGCTTGTTACAAGGTTGTTCTAACAAGTCTAATACAGTCTTTGTAACAAGTTTGAAACAAGCTGTTAACAACTTGTAACAAGCTTGATGACATTATCAGACTTGTTACAAGGTTGTTCTAACAAG